TAAGCTAATTTACTTATTCAGTGCCATACCAATCAAACGACCAAAAATTATTTTATAGAGTTAGAAAAAATAATAACAAGATTCATTTGGAAGAACAAAAGGTCCAGAATATCAAAGGAACTAATGAAAAGAAATGCAGGGGAAGGTGGCCGAGCAATTCCAGATCTTAAATTGTATTATAAAGCAGCAATCATCAAACTGCTTGGTACTGGCTAAGAAATAGAGTGGTGGGTCAGTGGAATAGGTTAAATATGCAAGACACAGTAGTCAATGACTATAGTAATCTATTATTTGATAAACCCAAAGACCCCAGCTTCTGGGATAAGAACCCACTCTTTGAAAAAAACTGCTGGGGAAAACTGGAAGAGTATGGCAGAAACTAGGCATAGACCCAAATCTCACACCACATACCAAAATAAAGTCAAAATGGGTTCATGATTTAGAGATAAAGGCTGATACTATAAGCAAACTGGGAGAACAAGGAATAGTTTACTTATCAGATCTACGGAGAACAGAAGAATGTATGACCAAACAGGAAATAGAGAACATTAGGAAAAGCAAAATGGATAACTCTGATTACATTAAATTGAAAAGTTTTTGCACAAACAAAGCCAATGCAACTAAGATTAGAAGGAAGGTAGAAAATTGGGAAAGAATTTTTACAACCAGTCTTTCTGATAAGGGCCTCATTTCTAAAATATATAGAGAATTAAGACAAATTTATAAGAATACAAGCCATTCCCCAATTGATAAATGGTCAAAGGATATAAACAGGCAGTTTTCAGATGAAGAAATTAAAGCCACCTGTAGTCATATGAAAAAATGCTCTAAATCATTATTGATTAGAGAAATGCAAATGAAAACAACTCTGAGGTACCATATCACGCCTATCAGATTGGCCAACATGACAAAACAGGAAAATGATAAATGTTGAAGAAGATGTGGGAAAATTGGAACACTAATGCATTGTTGGTGGAGTTGTGAAAGGATCCAACCATTTTGGAGAGCAATTTGGAACTATACCCAAAGGACTATAAAAATGTGCATACCCTTTGACCCAGCAATAGCACGTCTAGGATTGTATCCCAAAGAGATCATACAAATGGGAAAAGGACCCACATGTACAAAATCATTTATAGCAGCTCTTTTTGTGGTGGCAAAGAATTGGAAATGGAGAGGATGCCCATCAATTGGGGAATGGCTGAGCAAGTTGTGGTACATGAATGTAATGGAATACCATTGTATTATAAGAAACGATGAACAACCTGGAAAGACTTGTGTGAACTGATGCTGAGTGAAGTGAGCAGAACCGAGAGAACGTTGTACACAATAACAGCCACGTTGTGCGATGACTAATATTGATAAACTGAACCCTTCTCAGCATTACAAGGATCTAAGACATCTCCAGAGGCCTCGGGATGGAAAATGCTGTCCACATCCAAAGAAAGAACTATGGACGTTGAACCGCTATCTTTTTTTTTCTCTTCTGTTGAGTTTTGTTTCCTCTTTCTGACGGTTCCTCCTATTGGTTTTAATTTTTACTTACAACTTCACTAATGTGAAAATATGTTTAATAAGAATGTAAATGTATAGCCTATACCAGATTGTGTGGTCTTGGGGAGGGAGGTGGGGAGGAAGGGGGACAAAAATTTTAAACTCAAAAGCATATGGAAGTGATTATTGATAAATCAAAATAAATTAATAAAAAAAATTTTTTTAAATAAAAAGAAAGGCACAGCACCAAGTCACATTAAGTAGATGGCTACACTGTGTGTGCTAAGAACAGGGGAAGGTCATATGGGCCACGTTTCTATAGACTTTTTGGTGAAAATCTTAAGAGATCCTGTGAGCCAGAAAGTGGTCATCCCCAGTGAAGAATGATCCCACAGAGGGCCCCTTGAAGCAGCAAGTGTGCCCCGAGGGCAGATCCCAACACAAAAGTTTCCTGGGACTAAAGAGAACCTCAGCCTGGGGAGACCGAGGTCTGGGTCCCCTGCTTTGTCCCGCGACAATGTGGATAACCCTCCTCCCCTTGCTGGGAGCCGCATGCGCTCCACCGTCCTTCCCACTCTGTTCTCCAAGGGCCAAATGATCTCCAGTGAGTTGGAGTTGAGCTCCCAGGCTCAGAGGCCTGGTGAAACATATCCAAAAGGGAATCTACTCTGTCCCTGACAAGAGAAGTCTAGAGGTAGCCCATCCCCTCTTGGAGAGCCCCTTTGCTCCTGGTTCTGCCCTCGGGCTGAGCAGATCAAGGACCTCCCCTCTTCCACATGAAATCCTTTAGGACCACAGACACGTGCCCCACAATGCCTCTAAGTGAATGTCTCTCCCACTTCCGACATTCTGTGCAGCACCTAGAGCTGTTGGGGAAGTGTGACCAGGGCCCCTGGACCCTGGTGCGAGGGCCTTGGAAGAACAGGACGGGGCTCTGCCTTCACTGGCATTCCCACCTTCTGTCAGCTCTACATGGTAGGGTCCGGACGGATGAAGGATGCAGGTGTACTGCCACCTTGTGGACATCCATGAGGAACCAGCCCATGAAGTCAAGAGCCTTCCTCTCCTCAGTCCCCTGGTCCCAAACCTGCAGCCTTCACACTCTCAGCAAATTCCCAGCCCCAAGAGCGGCCATCCCAGACACAGGGAGTGACTGAGAATCCACCACTTCACAAGATAGCTCCCTGAAGCTGTCGCATGGGGCCCAACGTGCCGGTTCTTTCTGTCCCATTGGGCAGACTGAGGGACTGAGGGACCACACGGCAGGGACCCAGGCACCAGCTCACCTGGCCTCCAGTCTTGCCTCTGACGTGCTAGCTGACCAGGGGGGTCATTGCACACTGGTCTCGAGAGCCAGGAAACAGAAAGTATACTCCTAACGGCTCATTTGATTTAAGAGGGCAGCAGAACCTTCATCTCCCCCCACTTCTACTCCTCAGCACGTCAACCCCGGACATCGTTTGCTGGGTCTCTGTGCCTAACAAAAGTCACCAACTCGACAGGTGAGACCTCAGTGAACCTCACAGAAGAGAGGTCCAGTTTCTCTGTCATCTCCTGTAACCTCTAGTGCTCCTAATACTGCCAGTGAGGAGCAGATGTCAGCCTTTCCAAGGGCTTACTCTTCAATTCTAGGATCATCAGGGGTCACTCATTAGACTTCCAAGGTCTTGGGATCGAGGACTCTGTGCCTGGGAAGTGCTGAATAAAATGTTCCTTGACTGACCAGGGTTGAAGGCACAGCCCGAGGCCCTTATTTTAGTACACAGGAGGCAATCCCTTCTTTCCGAAGCTGTGTACTTGTCACCAATGCTGTGAAGAGGAGCGAGAGCGGCCCGCGGGAGACAACTGTGCACCTGCTCGTGCTGATTTTGTTGTTCAGTCGTATCTGACACCTTGTGGCCCCATTTGGGGTTCTCTTGGCAGAGAAGCTGGAGCGGTTTGCCCTTTCCTTCTCCAGCTCATTTTACCGATGAGGAAACTGAGGCAAACAGGGTGAAGTGACTTGCCCAGGGCCACACAGCTAGAATGAGTCTGAGGCCGGATTTGAACTCAGGGAGAGGAGTCTTTCTGACTTCAGGCTGGGCACGCTATGCATTATGGCGCCACCTGGTGGCCGTATCACCCTATGACATGGAACTAAGGAAAGGGTCAGGTGGTGATCCCCCTGCTCATCAGAAAACCACCAGGAATCCACAATTAGAGGCAAGCAGTGACACCTTCTATCAAACCAGTACATCCTAGTCAATCACCACGACTGCAGCCTCCGAGTCTCCCAAACAGGCCGAGGGTGCCAAGAAACCTGGGGAACAGCAGAGCCCTTCCGCTGCCGAGCCAGCATCCTGGCTAGAGGGCCGCTCTGTACTCCACTGCTGAAGACCACCAGAGCAGCAGTTATCACTGCAATTATTGGAAGAGAATTTAAGGGCACCAGCGAGCCCGAGTGTCTGGAGGACCACGAAGGACCTGGTGTTGATGTCATAGGAGCTTTAGCTGAAGGAAATGAAGTTTAGCTTGGAAAAGACTCAGGAGATAGGAGGGAAATTTAAATTTGATGTAAGGAAAAAAAGCTCCTAATTTTGAACGAGTGTCCAAAAAAGCCAAGCAGGTGGCCTTGGGATGTCCTCCCTGAAGGTCAAGAAGACAGGAGGCCCATTTGACAGGCAGGTCACAGTGAAGATTCCCTTGGGTACAGACTGGACCTAGAGCTGCAGACACCCCTTTCAGCTCTCCAATCCTCTGATTGTATGAGTAAGGGTCCTAGCTCACCATGACATGATGAGGCTGGAGATCAGAGTTGTCAAACATGTGACCCACGGGCTGCATGTGGGGCTGATCCAGATTCAAATGAAAATGGGAAATAGTTAGCAAAATAAGCAAAAATGCAATAAAACATAGGTATTAGATTTTAAAACTAAGCCACTGCGCAGTCCTCAGGGATCCTTATGTATGGGGTAGTGGCACAACCTCAAAAGGCCCCTCTTAGTGACCCAGAAAACGCTCTGAGACTTTTAAGTTCCCTGTGGAAATATGTTTGGCAAGAGTGTGTGTGTCTGTGTGTGCACGTGCGTGCGTATGTGTGAGCATGCATAATGGGGACTGTATTTCTTGCCTTCTTATTGGGGGGGAAGGCAATCTACACTCCAAAGAGCACTTCCATGCCTGGAGTTCTCACAGGACAGGACTGAACCAAACCTCACCACCCCGCCCCAATCCTTGCACTACCTCTGTCACGGGAGGCAGGAGGACAAAGTGTGAGTGGCTGTCACCCCACTGCTGCAACCACTCCATGCCCTCCTCCCTAAGACCCCTGCCAGTCCTCAGCGAGGGGCAGCTGGGGAAGGGCTGCCCCTCCCACCCTCCAGGTACATAGCAGGGGCCGACCACTGAGCCCCGTGACCCAGAATCCTGGGGTCTCCTCACAGTCCCTGGCCCACCCACCTCCCGGAAGCCTGCCTCCCCTCGCTGCCCCAGGAAGGAAGGACGAAGGCACTGGGGGGAGGCATGGATGCTGTTTCTATAACATTTATTAAAACGATGCAGCAGACACAGTCGGGAGGGGCTCATGTGCTCTTCACATAGATCTTGGGAGGCTGCCAGCCCTCAGGGGCCTGCTTCAAGCCTGCTTTCTTCCACACTCGCTTCAGGTCCTTCTCAAACCTGATCTGTGAGGGGAGCAAGAGGAGAGAAGGGCGAGTGAGGGCAGAGCTGCAGCACGTCCCTGCCAAACCCCGCAAAACGTCCTGCCGCCCCGAAACCCCAGAGGAGGCGCGTCACAGACAAAACCAGCAGGTAGCTGCCGACAGGCTCCCTTGGAGGGGACACTGGTCCAGGAACGGGAAGGCCCAACCTCCAGGGACACTGCAAGGAGAGGCAGCCGGGGTAATCGAGGCAGAAAGGGATAGCTGAATGGCGGGGCTCTAAAGGGCACCAGAGATCACCCAATCCAAAACCTGTTTCACAGACAGGGAAAGTAAGGCCCACCCCCTTGGCCGAGGCCACCCTGGGGCCACTACACACCAGGCTCTTTCCACTGCAGCCCCAGGCACAATTCAGTCCTGCAGAGGATGAGGCAAAGGAAGGGCTTCCAGGGCTCACCTGCTTCCGCTTCTTCCTCCCATCTAGGACCTTCCGCCGCAAGAAGCGGGTCCTCTTCACCAGCTTGCGGTATTTGTGGTGGTTCATCTTTCGGCGGCGGATCTTCAGCATGTTCTTGCAGTGCACTGCAGGGGCCCCCCGGGAGCCTCCTTCCCCCAGCTCCTCCCCATCCTGGGCCTCACTTGGGGGACAGTCATAGAGCAAGGCCAGGCTCCCTGTTCCAGGCCTGGGACCAGGGATGGTGACCTCCGGCTTGGGGAGCAAGTATTGAACGGTGAGCCAGCTCTCCAGGGGGCTGATGGACAGCTTCCTGGGGACCAGCATCTCCTCCAGCTCTGGATCTCTCTGGGCCTGGGGCTGGGAGGCCGGCCCATTCCTGCCCGCTGGCCAGGTGCTGTACCAACAATGCTTGGCCATACAGACCGGAGGGGGCACCGGAGGGCCGGGCCTCAACACACATCGGCCTGCAAGGAAGGAGAGCCTGATGGCGACGGAAGGCAAGGCCTGAGCAGCAACCAGGGGATCAAGGGCTACCTTCCAAAGGCCTCCGCGGGCTCAGCATCTACCCGGCCAGGGGTACATTGTACAGAGCGCCTGTCTAGGGAGTCTGCCCGCTGCTGGCGCCCCAGAGGCTGAGGCTGGAAAGGAGAGCTAACACTGGGCTGGCACACTATCTGCCCTCCCAAAAGCTGATCTTCCTTGAGCACACAATGCAGAGTGAAGCCTTCCACAGAGATGGCCCCCGAGGCCAACCCAGTGCAACATCTAACAGGAAACAGCAGCCTTCTCCTGCCTCCCTCCACCCCGGATCATCTAAGCTGACCAGAGGGTCTCCCATCAGCCAGTGAGGGGCATCACCTACAATACCATTCCCTGAGCCAGTCCAGGGGCAGCCTGCACCCACCCATAAAACAGGCTCTTACCTGCCCAGGGCAAGGCCCTAGTCAGCTGAGAGGTCACTCGAGCCAGAAACATGGTATTTGGGTCTGTTCTCCTAGGGCAAGGCTCAGGAGGGCTGTAAAACAAGGTTTTATTCATTCACCAAACCTGGGGTAACTGCACAGAGCAGTTATCTAGTGGGGGCTAGCTACGTAAGACCCTAATCACAAAGATCGCTAGGGGAATACAATACAAACCCGGGTAACGATAACAGCCTCCATTTATACTGCCCCTTCCAGTGCTTTACTGACATGATCTCATTCTATCCACAAACTCTAGGAGCTCTGGGGAGGTACCAGGTGCTACTGAGGCAGCTCATGACTGACCAAGAATGCTTCCTTCAAGAAAAAGATCACAGAAGGATGCAGGTGGGGCTAGAGGGCCTGGGTTCAAATGCTGCCCAACACTTATTTCCTATAAGACCTTGTACCTGAGTCAGTTAACGTCTTACAGCCTCTGTGAGGGGAGGAGTCAGGCTAGATGACCCCAAAGGTTAGGAGCTGGCACCTCCCCAGAGGAGGCTGCCAGGATAAGTCTCCCTGTGGCAATGGAGCAGCCTCTGGACAAATAACAGAATTTTAGAGTGGGAAGGGACCCGGCCTTAGTTCAACCCACTCCCTGCCTAGGGGCTGATTCAGCCTCTACCTGAAATCTCCAGGACCCTCATGGGCTCATTCCCCGGGGTCAGCCTCCATCTGCCCTTTCTCAGCTCCTACCCATGGCTCTGGGCTCTAGAGGCAGGCAGAATGAGACTCAGATGGTCTCAAGTCTCCCCGCAGGCTTCTACGCAAGTGAAACATCCCCAGTCCCTCCAACCCATTCTCATCGAGGGTCAGGCGTACAGACTTGAGTTCAAATCCAGCCTCAGACACTCCCTTGCTGAGTCACTTATCTCAGCAGGCCTCTGATAATGACGGTAAAGCGCTTTAGCACAGTGCCGGCACACAGCAGGTGCTACATAAATGTTAGCTATTATTATTACTAGTATTAAGATTATTCTCATAGGATACGACTAAATCTGTCCGGCTCCCCATGGCTAACACTAATGAAGACGATCTTCCCTCCTACCCTTCCCAGGCCCCTTTGGTCCAGGCTGGGTGGGGGGGCGCTGCCTGGGTACTCCCCTCTACCCCTCCCCCAGCCCCAAATCAGGACGGCGGGGTCCAAACTTCGTGCCTGCCCCAGCCCACATCTCCAAGATCTTTTCCCATGCTGATCCCCTGGCTTTCCTTGGGGGGGGGGCACATGGCCACATGGCCACCTCCTCCAGGAAGGCTACCCGGATGGCAGGAGGACCCTCACTCTTTTTCTTCTGCCTCCCCCACCCCAATCCGGGCAGGCTGAGGAAGAGGGAGGAGAGGATCGGAGAGGGGAGGGGAAGGCGGAGGGGGAGGGGAGAGGACCCCTCCAAAGCGCCGCCGCCCCACCCTAGAGCCCCTCCCCGGCCGCAGGCCGCCCCTCTTTCTTAAACCTGCCCCTCCCGCCTCCACCCCCGCCTCAGGGTTGTGACTCCCCCCTCCCAACAAGCCCGCTGGGCTCTGACCGCCGGACACTCTCCCGAAACTGACCATCCTGCGCCTCTTCCAAGGCACTTCCGGGTTCCTCGGAGAAACAGGCCCTCCGGAAGCTGCGGCCCAGAGGTTCCGCTGCACAAAGGTTCCCAGGAGCCGCGCCCATGGCGCAGCGCCCCCGCGCGGCCGGGCCTGGAGAAACCCAGAACAGAATCCCCGCAGCGCCCCCTCGCGGCCGGGTCTGGAGAAATATTGCGCGGAACTCCCGGAGGCCGGCTGCGGAGACCCAGCCCAGCGCCCCCCTGCGGCCGGGCCTGGAGACACGTGCTGCCCAGAGCTCTGCTCCCTGGCTCATAGCCAGCCAAAATCAGGACTGAGTGTAGGGATAGACCCTGAGTTAAGTTTCAGCCTGAGGTCAGGGGTCAGGCTGTGCTCAGTTAATGGCCACAGTCAGGATCAGTGGGGCACTGAGGTCAGTTCCCAATGTCAAGTCAGTCTAGGGCTTGGGTCAGGACTCAGTCTAGGGCTGGGCTTAAGGTCATGGTTGAGTCTGGGGGTGGGGTTATAGGCTCTGTTGGGGGCTGAGGTCAAGGTTCAGGCTGGCTGGTTTGGAGGACAGTGTCTGGGTCAGACCGCAGGCACAGGGTCAGCCTGCAGCCAAGGTAGAAGCTCAGAATTAAGATGGCGGCAGGGTTTGGTGTGGGGTCAAAGTCACGATTCAGACCATGACTGGGGCCAAAGATGTCTGTCTGTGGCTATAGCAGGGATTATACCAAGGTTAAGGCTTAGTTAGGCTAGACCTGGGACCAAGGTCAAGGACCCTGGGGTCCAGTCTGACCCCAGTCTCCAGTCTGGAGTCGAGGCTTAGGTTCAGGCTGAGGTTCGTGACCCAGTATGGGACAAGGATTGAGGCTCAGGCTATGATCAGGGTCCATGGTCTGGGCTTACTTGGGGACTGAGGTCAGGGATGATCCCAGGGTTAGGGTCCAGCTCACTCTGAGGCTAAAGCAAAGACCTGAACAGTTATACTAGGGCAAGGGGAAACTTCTGAGTAATGTTGGTTGGAAGGAGAATAGGGACCAGCTGTTAATAACTGGACCTTAGAGACAAGGCCCAAAGTCCTCCAAGACTTATGTAAGGAGCCCCTGGTACAGAGGAGAAAGCCATGGTTTGCAAACCAGAAGTCCTGAGTCTTAGCCCCACCACTTAACTTCCTGTATGTGTCTCAGCTTCCTCCTCCGTATTAGAGGAACAAGCCAGTCCATCTTCCCTCCTGGGACTGTTTGGGATAGGGGGAGGGAGCAGTCATGATCATTGTTAATGATTGCTTTTGGTATTTGGAGAGGGTCACAGGCCTAGACAGACCTGTCTGTGCGGGTCTATATGTCTAAGAAAATCTAATATTAAGGGAAGAAGGCTAGAAAACAGCCTCAGTGCAGGGCAAAGCCCCTAGAGCCAAAACCTACCCCCTTCCAACGATTTTTTGGGCCATGTCAAAAAATAGCATTACACATGCTTCACAGCAATTCTATCAGGCAAGTACTACTGCTATTCCCACTTTACAGATGAGGAAACTGAGAGTGAGAACGCTTAAGGAACCTTCCCAGAGTGATACAATTAGTCTAGCATTCTCTCCACCTGGCTTGTACAGGACAGAAGAAGCAGCACCAGGTTAGGCCCACACCCTGCTTCACGAGATTACCTTTTAATAACTTTGCTGCAACTTTAAATATTGAAAGAACTGACTCAGAGCTCAAATTCGTACTGGAAAAAAAACAACTACACATTTCCTTTTTTTTTTTTAATAAGGATCTCTCAAGTACCCTAAACCCGGAGGTTGATGGGATATGTATGGGGGGGACAGGGGGACACTAGGGCCTGGGGGGTGAGAGAGTGAGTGAGCGAAGGGGCTAAGATAAAGATAGAGCCAGGGATTGGAAGGCTCTGGGGAGTGAACGGCTCCCTGGAGTTGTGGGATTCAGTGGGTAAGGGGGTAGGTGGGGCTAAAGGAATAACGGGGCCCCCTGGCAGGGTGGGGGCAGCCAGGACTACCAAGGGACCACCTCTCCTTTCCAGTTCAGGAAGGCCCCATGGTCCTTTTCTCTGACGTTGGCCAAGACATTGAGAATCCCGGGGATGATCTCCTTTAACTGCAGGGGAGCCTGGGAAGAGCCAGAAGGAAATAACAATGAAAACGTCGTTGTTGTCCTTCAGTTGTATCCAACTCTTTGTGACCCCATTTAGGGTTTCTTGGCAAAGGTGCTGGAGGAAACTGAGGCAAACAAGGTTAAGTGACTTGCCCAGGTCACACAGCTACTAAGTGTCTCAAGCTGCATTTGAACTCCCAAAGATAGAGCTTTTATGTAGGCATGAGCTATATTTTATTGCTTCAAAGGGAGTCTCTGGATAGAAGCAGCACGCGCCAAATTGTGATATAATCAGGAAAAATTCCAGAGTCAAGGCACAAGTCATCAAAGGAAAAATGATTTAAGAGAAGACTCTAAGACTGAACCTGGTGAGGCAGCTAGGTGACACAGTGGACAGAGCACCAGCCCTGAAGTCAGGAGGACCTGAGTTCAAATCTGACCTCAGACCAAACACTTGGCACGTACTAGCTGTGTGACCCTGGGCAAGTCACTTAACCCCAATTGCCTTAAAAAAAAATTGAACCTGGTCCATTTAAAACCAGGCGGGAGGCCCCAGGTCATAACACAAGTTTGGTGTAATTACATAAACCACTGTCTGTGGGTGGACTCTCATCAGAGCCTAATTATTATAGGGTCACCAAGCTCCGCAAAGCTTCTACCGCCAAAGGGCCTTACTTCTGAACCCCAATATAAGTAAAAGCCTGACTCTTCCTCCCCACTCCCCAATCAGCCCGTCCAGCCTTAGGTGCCTCCTCCTTTCTCCTTTTAACATCTTCAGGGCACCAGGATAGCCTCTGAGCCGCCCACCCAGGAGCCCCTCATTCTCATTGTCTGGCCAGCTCCTACATTTCCCAGATGAGACCCTTCCTACCGCTCTGCACACAAGTCATTTCTGGTCATAGTCCACAATCTGCTTCTACTCATTAATAACAAATGATAAGCAATAATAACTAAATTTCTGTTTCTACATATTACCTCATCCTATGAGGATGGTGCTGTTATTATCCCTGTTTTACAGATGAGGAAACTGATTTGACCCAGCGAGTCAGTGCCTGAGGCAGAATTTGAACTCAGGTCTTTCCAAAACCAGGACCGGTGCTCCATCCACTGTGCCACCTAGCTGCCCCCACACTACCTCTCTTAAAATCCCATCAGTTTCCTTGGGTTCCATACTGCATTGTTAACTTATATTGAGTCTGTGGATATGTGCCCAGACCAGTGATTTCATCAGAATGGGAGCTCCCAGGTGAGGAAATTCTCTCTTCACCAATGGTCCATGAACACTTTAAAGAAAAAACAAACAAACCTGAAAACCCTATTTTAATATAATTGGCCTCCTTTGTAATCCTATGTATTTAATTCTATGCATTTTAAAACATAGTTCTAGGAAGGGGTCCAAAGACTTCACCAGACTGCCCAATGGGTCCATGATGAGAAAAAGTTAACTCCTGATTTATCAATTCAGATCAATAACTGTTCCACAGCTTACAATCTTAAGACTTTCCTGGAGCATCGAGTGGTTCAATGCCTTTCTGGGGTCTCTCCCTCCTACTCCCATTCTTTTTCACACGAACTATTAAGGGGTGGGGAACTGAATCCAAATTTACAGAACAAATTTCAAATTTCAAAAAAATCAAAAGGCCGCACTTAAGGATGTAGACGGCCACATGGTTCCTTCAAGGCTGCAGGGTCCCCACCCTTGGACTCTATCTATCTTGGCCTCACTATCTTGTACCTGGGTGGCAGTTTTTTTTTTCCTAATCCAAATACTACTTTTCATCTCTATGAAATGGGATCTTGTTAGATTTGATCCATCCTTCTACCATGTTGAGTTATTTTTAGATCCAGACTTCCTCCTCCAACATGTTAGCTAAAACACTCAGCTTCATCCCCTTGGGAAAGTCATTTCCCTTTTTTGGCCTCAGTTTCCCCATCAGTAAAATGAAGAGGTTGGATCAGATGAACCTTTCCAACTCCCCACTTAGGATGCTATGATCTTAT